AACAAATCAAGCTACTCATGGTCATCCTTCCGAGATAGACTTTGGTACGGCGCGTTCTATCGGGAGATCAGAGTTCGAACCAAGCTTTAAGGGAGCTTTGTTTAGAAGCAAAGACTCTACGAGGCTCAGAGCGTTTTGCACTTATCTCCCCGGCCTTCCTGCACTTTTTCTCTCATCGGAAGCCTCCGACCTTACAAGAGAAGCCTCCAAACCTCTTACCTCTGTCAGAAGAGAGACTTGCCCTTGATACCTTCCGAGCCATCTTAGCCATGTTCGATATCTTTTTGAACGTTGGTGACCCGCCTCGTCAAATTCGCCAGATCATGTCGTCCTTCACGGAAACCATCCCCCACTTCATTACTTGGGCATCCTATCTTGTCGAAGCCTTTGTGGAAAATGATCTCCTCACAGTCCGACTACTTGGGGATTCATCCTTACACACTCTGTCAATAGTATCCGAGTTGCTTCTTGCAATTATTTTTGCTACCGAGCAAGAAATCCACGCGATTAAGGGTGTAGGGAATCTCATTTTCCGAGTATTCATTTATGGGCTTCTTGTCGAGCCCCATTCGAGTTCATCTTTAGAGAAGCTCGACGAAATCACCCTTTCTGGGGTCAATCTGATAGGCAAGATGTCGGAAAACTGGGAGGAATTTTGGTGCGGCATATTTCAACAGGGAATGGCTGCCCTTGACCATACTCTCCTTACCCCAATTATCGCTTGCACACTGTCTCATCTAGTACAGGAGCGCCCGATTCGTTTTGGCCTGCTGAATCACTGGCTTCGAGTCTTTGGAAGAGTTGTTTCATTGCCGGACCTCCCTGTCGAGTTCATCCAACTTCTCATGCGGCATAGGGCTGTGTCTTCTCTTACCGTAGCTCTTCGGCGCATCGGTAAAGCTCTATCATCTCATAATGATGGAACTACCGAGAATGATATGCGTTGTATCCTTGCGACTTGCCACATAGCTATCCTCTGTCTTGATATCTTGCTGCGCCGTGCAGGTCCTACTGGGATCGTTATGGCGATCAAGTCTGGACTCCTTATTGCATTAAGGAAGTTGCCTCTCGATGAAGATCTTGAAAAGCTGCTTGCTCTTCTTGTCAATGCGTCTCTACACGGGTCTGTGCAGAGAGTTCTAAAACAAGCTCTTACTCGGTCTCCGTTTGACGAAACATCATTTGCGGATCCTGACGCCGAAATCTGGGAGCAGCTCCAAAAGGTAGTTTCTGATAGGAATGTGTTAAGAGCCTATATTCAAGCGAATAATTCGCTCTGCTCTAATCCGAAAGTGAGTCAGGAAACTAAACACAATTGGATGCTGGAAAACTAATAATGCTACTTGCAGTGCCAATCTTCTCCTTGTACCAAACTATTGCGGTGTTCTGCATGCGAAATGGCATTCTACTGTGGTTTCTCTTGTCAAAAGTCCCACTGGAATCTACATCGCAAAGCATGTCGTGCGCATGTAATGCTCAAACAAGGTCAGAATTCATTATTATTTCTTGCCAATACATGTCGATATTCGTACTTACTGTTATGGTATCAGAATGTGCTCATCGAGGAGTTGATGATCGGGAGCTAAAGTTGCAGTCATGTAGTCTTCACACCGAGCTTTGGGATCAACGCTCTTTTCTCCTTGGACAACAGGAGGAGCACCAAATCTCAATTCAAAGTCCAGTGACTATTCCACTAGTCAGTTTCGTTGACTTTGATGCAGATTACGTCACTATCCCAGGTCCAAAATTCTATGTATGGACAATGGAAGAGGCAAAAGAAAGAACGCCGATTCAAAGCGTAGTATGGGATGAACTGTTTGAGCAGATGGAGAAGGCACAAAAGGATGGGGAAGATATAGGTCCACTTGTTGCGGTGCGGGTCCCACACCCGTCGGGAGAGCTCTTCCATCCGATTGTCTTATCTGACCCAACAAATGAGTATGTATAATTAGTAACTGATGCTCATGCTGGAAGGTTTTCTTCGTAAAGTAAAGTTGACAGGCTAAGGCGTTCATGAGAGATTCTTATTGGATAGATATACATTTTCGATCAACATATTTCTAAGATAAACTAACCTCTACACTCATTCCATCCTGTTTGAACTCCTTCAAACGTTCCTGGAGATCCTCGAGCATCCCTTCCCCATCTTCACCTAGACATCGAATCGAAATTTTCTGCAAACAAACACAAACCTCATTAGCTATATTGTCCCCGATCCCTGAAGAACTTTCCGCAATGAGTAATGAAGGCCTCCATCTCGAGCGCACGAGCTCGAGCAATATTGTGGTGCAAGGCCGAATCACCAGGCGAAGATCTTTCAGGCATGGAAGTAGGCATTGCCCATTGGTAGGAGCTTCTTCATCATTATCCATATCCACTTCAGCTTCACCTCCATGATCTTCCATGCAATCCGAGCTGCAAGATGCAACCAGGGATTTAAGAACCAGGGAAACATCTGATTCACTAGTGTATTTTTCTTTGGGCTCTTCAACTTCCAGAGTTGTGACCAAGGGTACGCAGAGGAAGAGGCGAAGGAGTTCATTAGAAGTCAATGGAATGAAGTGCATGCTAAGGTGGGTTAACCGGCTCGGGCTTCGTTCAAGCATTGAGCACAATGATGCAATATGATACGTGTCGCACTAGTCTCCCGGATCCGATAATACAAGATGGGCAAGTTTTGGAAAGGTCATATAGTCAAAAAAACGGGGTGTACCATCGCGACGGCCGACAAGCCCATATTCCATTTTAAACATTCAGCGCATTGCAGCTAATATTCGTCGTGGTGCACTCCTCCGTCGCGGTCTACAAACGCTCTTCAACTCGAGAACCTGAATGTTCGGACAATACGGAGAATGACTCGAGATATCTCATCAGGAATACAGCAATTCCCAAATTGAGATACGGTGACTGTTGGTCGAAGGTACTTCAGATCGAGAGGTACCCATTCAGTGTTAGGAATTGAAGAATGGGACAATCCACAGGAAACGATGATAGTTTCACTCAAATTTGAGAGCAAAGATTGAGAAGACACCAATGCAGGGAAGATGCTGCTTGGCGTCAATCAATGGTAGCAAAACCGTTATCGACTATAGTGGATGAATGCTCGGGCAGCAATTTGAACATGACGCCAGCGACTGGGAGTTTTCGATGCAATCAACGACGAAAAGACAGTCGTCGGGTGATTCGTAGAGTTACAAGTCGTCAAGTTTGAAAGTCAATTGGATGTAAATGCGAGCGTTCAAGGAAGACTTTGAACAGAGACGGACTGGAGTGGTCTGCTCCAGTGCTTTAGACCCAAAAGAAGACCATAGCGTCGGGCATCGAAGTCACCAACATTATACCATCTGATGCATACTCCACTGAACTGCCAGAGTCGGGAGTCGCTTTTTGGCTTTCGATACGATACAGTTAATGCCTATATTACCACAACAGATGTATTTGAAGATTTCGCCCAAAATTTCCAAGGGAAGCTGGTGGATGGGAGACATCATCGAGTGAACGCCTGCCATATACGCCTCAAGACGGTCTTGTTGCGACTCTAGTTCCCTCAACAAGCTCTGTAATCGATCGAAGCTCCAAGCTGACAGCGGTCCATGTCTCTCTGCGCGTCATCTAGTAGCTTGGAATGGACTGCCCGTTCCGACCCATCAGGAGAGTATCCTGAGCGCACACGACGTATAGTTTCGTCGTATTTGAGCTCATGCAAGTCGAGTTGGAAGGAATCGCCACACTTAGTGCACAGATCTAGACGCATAGGCTTTTTGGGCCAGATGTGCTGAGCAACTGATCTTCTGTAGAGGTTTTCTGTCATAAAAAGGTGAGCAACGGCAGATTGTAAGATTATCGCTCAGAATCATACCATCAAGGCTAGCCATTGTAATTAAGTGAGAGGCAAGGCTGGGCGCTTATAAATAATCGATTTTTCTTTCCGACGCCCCTCAAGGGTCTGACCGAAAACAGACGGCGAACCTCTGGGAGAAATTTCAGCTAGATCTTATTCTCCCATTCAATATTCAATGCCATTCGGTCGAAACAAGTCGAAACTTTGTTTCTTCAAGTTCTAGAATCCAAAATCCAAATACTTATTCCGAATCCAAGGACCAAATTTTCGAGCTCATGCTTATGCTGATGCTCTCAGAGGAAGGTTTTCTTCGTGACGATGAAGGAGCCGAAGACCACATTCATTAGTGAGCGTCGATTAAGCACTGAACGCAGAGTGAAGTATAATAACCCAGTCCCTCAGTCGTCATGATAAGGTTTGTGAACCTTTTCAGAGATGCTTGTGTGTGATTAAAATCTGCTCCATTTGAACCGCAGGACAACCCCTCCAACAGACACTGCTGTTTACTCTGCTGCAAGTTCCTCTGCAGTCTCGTGTTCTGAGCGACAATGTCAGCCTCTTCGTCAGGGATATCCATGCCGTCGCATCCGAGTCGCGGTGACGAGCCCCAATCAAAGTAATGTGGGTATGGGTGATACTTGGATCCGTAACTTCATTGTTTTCCGTATCCCAGATGCTGGAGGTGGATACAAAAAGTCGTGTGACGACTAATTAGCTCTTGATGGTCCTCGAGGTAATGCACAGATTCCACTGCGGAGATAAGGCCTAGGACTATGAATGCTCCTACTACTGGCCGCTTCGCGGAAGACAGAAATGACCCGGATTCAAGTATCCGAGGTGGTTCACTGCTCTGGCTCCAGACAGGAGGGACAAACCGTCCAAGGCTCGCTATCACTGTGAGAGTTAGTAGGTGCAGTAGACACGCAAGTCCCTATTATGCCGTTGGTTTGGCAAGGGAGGAGGCGCTCAGTTGACGTTTGGATTATAATGGAAGCGCATTTCGGCTGCCCATGGCCATTCGTATGCCAGGGACTCCATTAAGAAACAATAATGTAAGTTGTCTCTGACTAGTCTCATTAGCATGCACTCTTCGTCCCACCATTCGTCATATCCATGGTTAACGCCTTGAAGGATACGGGTGCATGGTTTTGAAGATTACGGGTGCATGGTCTAGAGGCATGATTCCTGCTTTGGGTGTGGTAGTTTCAAGAACCTTTGCAGGAGGTCCCCGGTTCGATCCCGGGTGCGCCCCATTACATGGTTCGTTAGATGTTTTTTTTTTCCGTTTATTCGATGTCAAGACTTTTTCTCGTTTGTTTAAAGTGATTTGATATTAGTCTACACTTATCAAACTCGCTATATATGCGCTGACGATGAGATTTTTTTGCTACATGGGATGTTTGTCACGGATTACTATTTTTTTTTCAGACTGGTCCACGTACACGGTAATCGCTCTGCCCGTCCTTACTACTTGTATCGTTTTAGCTAGATGTTTTAAATCAACATAGATAGCTCTAATGCGCATTCGTGAAAAGAATTTGCTTGAGACCAACAAGACGCGCCGATCGGTTTGGAGCCAACTTTCATCTTCGATTCTGACTCTGAGGTCGTCCTTGCCCTCACCGTTCTGCACATATCCCAATCGAACGCGCTTCTTCGAAAATTGTATTTCCAGACTGGGAAAATGTCATCAGCAGAAGCCACTCGAGCAATCCAAAGTCGAAGTCTCGAATGGTACTTTTCCCTTCAACTTGATTCAGTCCGATGATGCGATCGTTCTCATCTCCCAAGTCTCCATTTCCAGTCCTAACCCTTGCCTGCCTTTGCGGCGCTTCCTCTCTCTGCTTCGCATCTGCCTCTTGGTGGTTCAACCTCGCCAACCAGACTAGTCTATCTGGTGTGATATCACTTTGAGGGAATCGAAGGATTTTGTCGCATCGGATGAGGTCCCAGTCTTCTTGGTCAATCGTGATGGCCTATCCACTTTCCCAACAAGAGAGTCTGCAGTTTGGACCTGCTCGCGGCGCTGTTCTTCCAGATGGCCATGTTTCAGGATACTTTGTCGGGCTCATTCTTCTGAAAAAGGCAGCGATTTCTTCAGTGGCATGCGTAATACGCGACCTGGTGTCATCTGAAAGAGAAGTTCCCGCTTGAGGAATGCGAGGATTCTGAATCATGGAGAAGAAAAGAGTTGAAATGCATTGAACGCGTAAGTCGTATGGATGCACTGGGAGTTCGAGAACAAGCGATGAGCATCTAATTGACGCAGGGCAATGAACAGAGTTAAGAGTCAGCCCCCGGTCGCGTTCGCCAGGCGTCGCTCAATTGGTGCAAGCCTCGCTGCTAATGCCGACTTGGCTCGGGTCGAGCTCTTTAACAGGCGGAAGCCTTCTGTCGCGACTGTACAGTCTCAAGTCCTGTTCGCAACCTGTGGCGCGATGCGGTGATTCCCTTCTTCATTCGTCCCTCCCTCCTCATCTTATACGCTCCGGTCCTCCATATCCTACATCCCTTCGCTCACCTCCAAATATTGATCTCTCGCCCCAACCCCAGGAGCCACATTCGAAGAATCGGAATGTGGCGAAAGCGCCGGATGCGTATATGCGTATAGCTCCTATTTCGCTTTTGCTTCCGTTTGAACGAACGGCACTTTGGAACAACTTACCCCCGGCCACGATGGTGGAACCACTGGCCAACGAGCTCATCGACAGTATCCTCGAATTCCTCTACTTCGATAAAGCCGCTCTCAAAAAGTGTGCTTTGGTCGGAAAAGCCTGGGTTCGCGCGTCTCAGCAGGGCCTCTTTGAAACGATAGTGCTCAAGTTCTCGGAGCGATCTATCTATGCAAGGGTTTATGCATCTTCGAATCATGGCCCTATCAAAACCAAATTGGAGCAACTCATTGCGATGTTCGATGAGAAACCATATCTGGCATCATATGTCTGCTCTTTGGAGGTAGTGCATTACCGTCCAGAGGATTTTTTCTCACAAGAAGCGACTCCTTTGGCAGCCCAAGTTATCCAACGACTCTCTAAAGTGAAGCACGTATTGCTTTACCACTGCGAGAAGGTTATACTCTCCGATTTTTCTATACTCAGGGAGGCGCTATACGACCTATTCAACCTTCCATCTTTGACTCGGGTCACCGTTCAGGAGTGTCGCTTCGGCACATTTGCTGAGGTGGCTTCCCTGTTGAGCCATGCGACACACTTGAAGGCGCTAACGATCGATAGTTTGGGTTGCTTCGATACAGATTTGCCAACTTCCTCAGACTTGATGCCCAATCTTCCTCCAAAGTCAATCAAACTTGATGAGTTTGTTGTGACCGCCGGCGCGTTCAGTCTCACTCCTTGGTTCGAACAAGAATCGTGTCCATTTCAAGTTCAGGATCTGCATTTTTTCCGTACGCGCTTGAGCCGTGGCCTGAAGACATCGCCACAGATCCTCCAGGCTAGTACGGCTTACTGGTCATAGTCTTACAAGGTTGGAGCTGCAGTACCAACATGAGGTTGAAGGTGCGCTCCTGCAAACTATCATAAATTTTTATCACTTGATTTGACTCCTTTTTCCAGAAATTCATTTTCATCTTGGAGACTTACCGAACTTGATCAATTTCACATTGGATTATCAAGAATACAACAGAATCAACGACATCCTTTCTTGGATTCGGTCCTTCTTTGAACCTATTCTGAATGAGCATACGCACCCCCTATGCCATTTTACTCTAGTCATGGCTGGCAGATTTTTATCCGATGCTGCTAAACGGGAGTCGTCATGTGACCAATTCGCTATCCTTGACATGCTGTTTGCGAAGTCAGTGTTTTCTTCACTGGAGACAGTGAATATTATGCTCTGGAAGAGAGAATATCCGCGACTTGATATACCGAGTGGTTTTGCGGAACCATTGGAGGAAAAGCTTCCTCTTTTGAAGCGGTCGGGCAAGCTCAACTTGGTTGTTGTATATAATAGGTAATCAGGAAAATAATAATTAGGAGCCCCGTCGAGCTCCCATCTCTAGACTACCCTGATACAGCATTCAGCTACTCAGTGTCTAGTGTCAGATACTATATTTACAACTCCTCACGCGACTCATTTTTGTACATGTGTTTCCAATCGGGACCCTTATGCAATAAAACCCAATCAGCCGAAATATTCACCACTTGTTCCAGAAGCAAAATTACCACCACTCTCGAGGCGTCTCCTTCTAACATGAATAAATTTGCCAAGGTTGTAGAGACATTGAAACGCCCTACGCATTCAGCAGAGTAGTCGAGAGGTCGTGCACAATCAGCAAACCACCATTTCATGGTACTTAAAAGCAGGAGTATACATTATTTTTACATGTATAAGTATGTATGTCCATAGAGATAAATTACGCCCGTCGCTGCCACCAGTGCCTCTTATTCCGTGTATCCTCTTCCAGAACCTTATTCTCTCTAATAACCTTCAAGAAGACACTCTCTAAACTGGCTTTTTCTACTGTATATTCAGTGAAATCTCCACTGCTCGAAAGCACGCGGAACAACTTGGCCAATGATGTACCGCCGGTTCCATTCAACTCCGAGTCGTCCGAATTCTGAATGGGAACTTCGAATCTCGTCGCAACATCGTCTGCCAAACGAGCACCAGGAATTTTCGCCATCAGGATTTGAGCCTTTTCAACTTCATCTCGGCTCCGAGTGGTGAAGTGTACCTCGTAGGTAGCGAATCGGGCAGAAAGGGACTCCGTCGTTCCAACGGCTACACAGCGTTAATAACCATGCATCTATGTATTCAAGGTCGCTTACCTAGCATGCGCCGAGCTAAAATTCCGACTTTGGTGGCAAGCGCCGAAGCCTCTTCCATCGAGTCTAGAATACAATGTTAGTACCAAATCAAAGGAGAAAATTAATCGGGCCTACGGGTAGTCATGAGTACAGACTTTCCGACAGAAACATTCCTCAACGTTTTCCACATCTCCCTTTTCATTTTGGCATCGATTCCAGTGGAGAACTCGTCGATGAGTACGACAGCAGGATTGCCTGGACACAGTTTATGTGAGCAAGTTCCATCAAGATAGCAAAAAGAAACCACCCACCAATTAACGCTATTGCTAATGAGAGTTTTCTTTGGTTTCCACCAGATAGCCTACTTGCCAGACGATCGGCATATGTCGCAATCCTGTCGCTTTGAGTAGTACGACAATATCGTTGGCGAGGACGGAACCTCTGGAAACACCCTTGAGTTCGCCGTAGATTAGCAGATGCTACATGGGAGATCAGTCAGAAGCGTCAAGGAAAAGAACCCGAAGCTCTAACCTCGCGCACTGTCATCTGAGAATCAATCGCAGTAAACTGTGGACAAACGCCGAGCGAGAACCGGGCCTTGCTGGGGTGACGGACCACGCTAGTCCCAGCGATAAAGATATCACCACTGTCGGGAAGCATGTCTCCGCCTGGTTGAGTGTTAGTTATGGAAAGTACATATAATATTGCACTTACGAATCATATTGAACGTGGTCGTCTTGCCTGCGCCGTTCGGACCCAAAAGAGCGAATATAGTATCTTGAGAAACTCCAAGGCTAACGTCATCCACCACTTTGTTATTGCCAAATGTCTTGGAAACGTTCAAGACTCGAAGGAAGTCATCCGAAGGCTTCGGCTTCGTTGGCCTCTTTCAGCACATCTTTTTCTGTCCTTGGGGGCTCCACTTTGCTAGATCTTCGGAACCAACCTTGAGTGGGTCTGAATAGAACCAGCTGTGTCGTACCAAACCAGAATCGCCATGAGAACGAAGCAGTATACAATGAGATACAGTATTGGTCCACCAAAGCGCAAAATGTCGCCAATTTGTGCAGTTGTAAAATTATTTCCGAGACAAAGAAGCGAAAATAAGTTGACCGATACAAACGCGGCGCGAGCCTAAATACCATTAACTATCAGGCAAGGTCAACAGAGGACACTTACTCACCGTACTCGCAACAGGGAAAGCACGCTCAAGGTAAAATTAATGATTGTGATGATCATACCGGCACTTGATGTTTTGGCGTAGGTCAAAGTAAGAAGGTATCCCGCGAGATATAGCTTTAAATTGAGACTGGAATCAGTATTGGGGAAGCAAAATGGGAAACAATGAATTCACTTACGACGAACATGATTACCTGATAGCCAGTAACCGCCGCGAAAGCTGCTAAAGGTGAAGATACAGTGAAAGAAAGGCAGTACGCGAATAAAGTACTGGCAATCCCATATATCACAAGCACCACCACTAAAA